GGGAAAAACCCTACCAGTAAAGAACTCAGAACTTTTTCTCGCAATAAGTTGACAAGTGAGTGAGGATGAATCAAAGAAAGGATACTCAGCATGGAGTTAAAGCATTAAACCCTAGCTATCAAAAATGTAAAGGAACGCTGTTTAGTAGCCAACTAAGAGAAAAAAAAAACACTAAAAAAATTGATTTAATGTTTTCGATTCAGATCATTACTCGGTGAATATACCGCGAAATCCCATCAGACATGTGTACGAGGAAGACGAGAAGGCCGACTTTGGGTGAGTGTGAAGTTCAAGTTTAAAATCTTTGATGGTCAGTTGACTGTCATTGTATACGTCTCTGATTAACTGCACTAAAGATGAAAATAATTAAAGGGCGTAATAGACTACATTCTTTCCGAAAACGATATTTATGAATAAGGGGAGCAGTCGTTTAAAAAAAATTGTTCATTAAGGTCTGTGGCCTAATGTGGCAGACCTTTCCAAAAACATGGACCTGTGCACGTGTACGGTGTTACAGTTAACCTAAAATGACGGAAAATAAAACTATTCAACGTGAACGAATGGCGTAAAAGGAGTGTGGTGCAACATAAAGTTGTCAACACGATCTCTCGGAATAGGGAGATATTGAGAAAAATTATACAGGACGGCGGTATTGGCGCGGTGAAATTTACCAAATTGCATAATCTAACTCCTACGAAAAAGGCTCACTAGTTCGCTCAAGATCTGCACACCAGTCAGTGAAGCATAGAAAAGCGCGAATTACAACTCTGGTCTGAGAATGGGTACATCTGGTTTACGTTACGCCTCGTTTCTTCCATCCCACGCGCGTAGAACGAGTCAGAGAGGCCTTGTCTGTCAACTGGCTACCACACAAGGCTCGGTTATTTTGATATTCATGAGTTTTCGTTTTCTCCAGGAAAGCGAAGACCCTTGATGATGGGAAGATCCAGTGTACTCTGAGAGTGCACTGGGGAGAGTTCAATGGAAAGGGAACAAACAAGAAGATTGCTAAAGCTACAGCTGCCAAGCTTGCCATTGAAGCATTGGAAAAGAATTCTTCGCAAGAGCGCGTCGCGCTATACGAAGAAGATTGAGTTTAAGTGCGGGCTTGGAGGACGTCAGTGTAGTTGTTCAGGGTGCGCTCTTAGTTCTGAGTTGTCCTTAGGGAATCCCGCGGAACATCTTTTATAAGAAATAGATTTCTCATGTGCCACTGCTTATTTTTTTATATTATCTTCCGCAACACAGAAAATTAAATTTCTGGCATGACCATCACTCTCTGGGAGCTACGGTTATGAAGGCGATGTACCTTGAATGAATGGGCATCATTAAAGATTACTTTATTGTAAAATTGTTTATAAAGTGCTGTGATTGATTTTCTTAGACATCGACGTTAGGCTACAAGCATATTCATTAGAAATACGGCTTTGAAATTTTTTTTATTCACATTTTACTTTTTTAATGAAACTGGATTTTTACCTGTGGGCGTCAGGGCGTCATCGCTGTCAATTTCTGGAAAAGAGGGAAAATCCTAACCATGCAAAACAACAATAAAACA